TGATTTATATTCCGAATGTTTGACCAAACCTTATCAAAAACAACTTCTTTTACCAACCGAGTAATTTTTTTCCCCATGACCACTTTTTTTTTCCGTAACCACCGCCGCTTTGCGATGGTGTTTGGTGTATATAGGAATCTAGTGTGACAAAATGAAGACGGTGAACGTTTGGTTTGGCGCAAGAAAACCAAGCACTTCACCGCTTAACGAGGATACCAAATCGGACTAGACTTCCCAACCCACCTCCCGTTTATGGAATCCACGCATACCAGTCGCCCTCGTCCCCATCCTCGAATCGAGTCTTCCCGGATCCTTCCTTCCTCCCAAATGTAAATGCCAACTCGGCAAGTCCCAAGAGGCAACAACAACAGTAACACCAAAGCTCGTTCCAGGGGCATGGCAAACTTTTTCTTTTTTTCTTTTGTGTGTGCTGCTCATACAAATTCAGGCAGCAATGCTTGTTTGTTGCAAAAAGAAGAGATGGTTTCGATGGGTTCACTTGATTTGGTTTGTTTTTGCAACTAAGGTAGAGTACGTAGGTTTGTAAAGAGAAAGAATACACTGTACTTAGGGCGCGTTTAGTTGGCGAAAATTTTTGGTTTTAGCTACCGTAACACTTTCGTTTGTATTTGACAATTGGTGTCTAATTATAGACTAATGAGGTTCGAAAGTTTTATCTCATAATTTCTCACCCAACTCTACAATTAGTTTTTTTTTCGTCTATATTTAATACTCCATGCATGTACCGTAAAATTCGATGTAACACTTTAGGGTGAAAATTTTTAGGAACTAAACAGGGCCTTACATACATCCCCAGCAAGCATACAACAGGAGCCCCTTCACCGTTTCTACGAATTTCGGAGCAAGGGAAAAGCTAGGACTAGGAGCATGCAGATGCAGGAGAATATAATGATGAAGCAAAAGGGAATAAAAAGAACCAAGCAACGTTTCTTGCGCATTCCTGTCTGTGATGACTGATTAAAAAGCAACATGCATTTCTTGTCCGTCCAATGAATTGGTCGATCGATCCGTGGCGCTACGCCTTTGGTTTGGCTGACTGACCCAATTGGCCAATTCACTAGTATTGCCGGCTGCTATCGTCGGCGCGAGAGGGAGAGGAGAGCGCGGCGTCCCACGGCGTCATGTCCATGGGGTAGCTCCCGAGCACCCTGAGGAAGGAGGTGAACTCCTGGATCTCGGCGAGCGCGTTCTGCGCGCGGACGTCGGCCATGGAGGCCTGGAAGTCGATGTAGAACATGTACTCGAAGTGCTTGGCGGTGCCGACGTTGGCGTCGTCGACGAGGCGGATGGGGCGGTGGCGGTGCGGTCGGCTCTCGATCTTGGCGAGGGAGATGTCGCGGAAGGCGAAGGCGGAGAGCACCTTGAAGAGGACGGAGGTGCCGTCGGTGTCGTGCGCGAAGACGATGCTGGTCTTGAAGGGCCTGTCGGTGCGCGGGATGATGGGCTCCCTCGCCAGCATGACGAATCGGGTGACGTTGCCGGCGTCGTCCTGGATGCCGTCGGCGAGGACCTGGAGGCCGTAGAGCTCTGCGGCGCGCGCGGACGCGATGGCGGCGGTGTCCCGGAGCCCCCCCGCGGCGACGTGCTCGGCGGCGCCGGCGGTGTCGTCGAAGGCCTCGCGGGCGACGTTGAGGCCCATGGCGTTGATCGTGAGCTCGCACTGCGCCAGCGCCTGCGGGTGGGAGATGACCCGGGTGAGCAGCTCCCTGCGCACCCCGGGGAGCGCGAGGAGGCAGTGGTGGACGGGGAGCTGGACCTCCCCGACGATGTGGAGGCGGTGGCGGAGGAGGAGGTCGTAGTTGCGGTGGATGCTGCCGCCGAGGGAGTTCTCGACGGGGAGCACGGCGCGGTCGGCTATCCAGAGCTCCACGGCCTGGAAGGCCACCTCGAACTGGTCGCAGGGGATGGCGTCGCAGTCCGGGTAGGCCTTGGCGGCGGCGGCCTCGCTGTAGGCGCCCGGGACGCCCTGGTACGCCACGCGGAGCTGCGACCCGTGCATGGGCGCCGGGGACAGGTCGCTGATGCTGAGCGGGCGGGGGAGGTTGGACACGGGCACCAGATCCAGCTCGGCGGGCGTCGGCGTCGGCGTCGCCTCCAGGGCTGGCGCGGGCGCGGGCAGGGGCTTCTGGCCGTTCACCCGCGGCGCTGGCTGCCTGTTGCTGTTGTTGCTGCTGCTGGCGTCGTGGCCGCCGCCGCCGCCCGTGCTGTTGCTGGCGAGGATGGCGCAGGCGGTCTGCCAGTCGGCGCGGGCGAATGGGGCGGTGGCGCGGCACGCCTGGGACGCGAGGCGCGTGGATCTCCACCAGGCTGCCGGGCGGAGCTGGTGGCGCGGCGCGGCGGAGAAGGCGTCGAGCATGGCGGCGGCCTCCATGGAGGCGGGCGGGCGCGTGGATTGGATTGGCCGCGGGCGGTTTGGTCCCCCCGTGTTCCCGGGCGGGGGTGGGGTGGCTGCCTTTTTTCTCTCCCGCTGCCTCTGGTCTGGTCTGGTGTGGTAAGTGGTAGTGGTAGGTGGGAGGGCTCGGTGGATCGGGCAGACGGGGAGAGAAGCCGAGCTGAGCCGCCTGCCTCAGCCTCAGCTAGAGCAATTGCGCGGCGCGGGGGATGGTTTATACGGGGAAGCTGCCGTGTGTGGCCGTGCGTGGCCGACCCTTGCCTTGTCTAGTTCTCTTTCTCTGCCTGCGGGGCGACGCGACGGACCGATGGATTACGGGTGGTTGGTGGGGGCAAAGCAAACGGACCCAAGCAGATCGCAAAGCAAAACGACGTCGCCGTGGAAACCTGAAGCCGGCCTAGCACGCATTGGTGTTGGGTGAGGACTGAGGAGGGCGGTGGGGTGGTCAAGCACTCCTCCATCTGACCATCTCATCCAGGGCTGACGCAGCCCTCGTCGAGGATGACATCTGCACCTAAGGACGAAAACGGTATGATAATATTCTGAACCGATCGTTTTCGTTTTCTATATTATAATAGCGTTTTCTATATTATGATACCATTTTCGAATTTCACCAAACATAAAAATTTATCATTTTTAATTGGTTTCACAACCATTTTCAACCATTTTTTGTACTCTTTATTAATTGCTAAAATGTAGAAATATCCCGAACCGACCGCTTCCGTTTTCTATACTGTAATGCTGTTTCCGACCGTTTTCATCCTTATCTGCACCTAATACTCCGCTTCCGCTCTCAGAGTCGTTAGAGAGTAATAATAATATAATACAACCCTCTGCTAGATGGAGAAAGGCTAATTAATAATAATATAGCCCTCTGCTATTGGTATATATTTATAGAATCACATTTTGATTTTCTAGATACGGAGTTTTTACTATGCACTTTAATATATACTATGTCTATATACACAGCAAAAACCATGTATCTAAAAAAAATCCATTCATATATGGTAACCCCTCCATTCTAAATTAGATGTTTTGATTTTCTAGATATATAGTTTTTACTGTGTATTCAGATATATATACTATGTCTAGATACATAACAAAAATAGTGTATCTAAAAAAACTAAAACATCATATAATTTAGAACAAATGGACTAGCGAACTCACCTATAGTCCACTCATTGTTTTTTCTTGGTTCTATGCATAAGCTAGTTGTAACTTTAGGCCAATCTCAATAAAAGTTTTAATAGTAGATAAAGAGAACGATGATAAAAGTTTTATTATAGGGGCAATTTCTTATTTGGTCCTGGTTTAAAGTTGTCTTTCTTTCTTGGCCCTGAAACAAAATTTCTTACCTATTTGGCCTCACTCGAAATTTTATTTTCCAATCTGGCCTTACCGTCATCTCCCGCCTCTAACACCGTTAAGTGACACATGAAATGACCAAACTGCCCCTGAGACATTATAAGAAACCAAATGTCACCCAGGCAGCATAACAACATAATTTTGAGCACTTTGAATCCAATTTTCATAACATAAAAATTTGTGTTATGAAAATTGGATTCAAAGTGCTCAAAATTATGTTGTTAATGTGCCTGGATGGCCTTTGGTTTCTCATAACGTCTCAGGGGCAGTTTGATCTTTTCATGTGCCACTTAACGGTGTTAGAGGCGGGAGATGACGGTAAGGCCGGATTGGAAAGTGAAACTTCGAGTGAGGCCAAATATGTAAGAAATTTTGTTTCAGGACCAAGGAAGAAAGACAACTTTAAACCAGGGCCAAATAAGAAATTCTCTTTATGATAAGATGAAACTTGTCTTTCGAAGACATAGGAAATTGGCACATGAAATTCATTAAGGCTAGCCTTATAGTTAGCGCGTGTTCAGTTCCACCCCAAATTCTCAAAAAGTGCTACAGTATCTATCACATCGAATGTTTGCGGCCCGTGCATGGAGCATTAAATGTAGACGAAAAAAAACTAATTACACAGTTTGGTGGAAAATTACGAGACAAACGTTTTGAGCCTAATTAGTACATGATTGAATACTAATTACCAAATAAAAACGAAAGTGCTACCGTAGCGCTAAATTCCAACTTCTTGAAACTAAACACGCTCTTAATCGGAAATAGCCAACCATTAGTCGCCGGTAGGCAGCTGTTGACGTGTCGCTGGTGCTCATCATCTGGGCGCACGCACGGGAGTCGGTCGGGAGCCCTGCGCTGCGCACACGCACATGCATCCGATGCTCCAACGGTCTTTCCCCTTTTCGTCGAAACAGTGGCAAACACATCGCTAGCGCCTTGGAAGATCGCGGCGATTCGGACATCGAATGGGGCGGCGCGGTCTCAGCAACACTTTGAGGGCTTCCTCACCGGCCTTGCATATTTCACAAAGGAAATAACGTGCCACCTCATCAGGGGAACTGATTCACTGATTCCAAACATATACGGATCGACAACAACAAAACCCTGCACGCTCACAGTTTACCAAGTACTACATCAACATTCACCAACCCTGGGAAAGGGCAAATTAAATAAGGTTTACTAGCCTAGGACCATCTGCTGCCCTTGCTTCTACCGGTTCTCTTCAGTACACATAAGGCAGGATCCTCCAGGGCACGAGCTTGCAGTACTCTGCCCAGATCTCCCTGTACTTCTGCGAGCACCTCGCCTCGTCGCGCCTTTCCCTCCAGATCAGTAGAATGAGCAGGTACGTGGGGTAGAAGTATGGGATCACGGAACTGCAAACGACGGACCAAGATTGTTCAGACAGGCATCCACTGCAAAAGGGAACTGCCACAGAAAATGATCACTCACCTCACTCCACAGGGCAAGCTGAACGAAAGCGCTAGCAGTAGATCTCCTAGATAATTGCAGTGCCGTGCGATGCCCCTGTAATGGGAGGATGAAAACCTTTGTAGTTTTAAGTTCACAACACAAATCAACAAGCTTCATCTTTCTTTAAGGGACAGGGGAGTATTTAAAGCCTGAGGAGCTACCAAACATTTTTCAAGAAAAAAAAAGTAAGATCGAATAAGCAACAACCAATACACCACAATCACAAATCACAAACTGCTATAGCTTTGAATCTGCTGTAAACACTACTTAGGTGCGGTATTTTACAGCTACTAAAAAATCCCGTAATTATTCCATAGACTTCGGATCAGCATTTGGTTATTCATTTTCAGCTCATCAGGATTAGCTATTCCTTTGAAATGTCATCATCTAAAAAAAACCTTTGATGCATGGCTCTAAGTTCTTTTCTACTCTATGAATTAGGCTACCATTGATCAATGCTAGGAGGGTCAATAGCAAGCATCATACAATCTATAATGATTATGTGAGGGTCATTGGCATGCATGAGTCACGTGACGCATGTGTCCTTACCAGTAACCGGAAGCGAGTAGCTTTCCCCCAACAACTTTGGGAGGTTTTCCCCATATAGGAGCTTTGGGGTCCTTCTTGAACACATGTTTTTGCTTGTTAGCTCCTCGGAACACTAGGTAGCTGAGTGCCACATAACACAACGTGTGGCCAACAAGGTTAGAATGCAAGAAACAGGTATATATCAAATTGCTATAGCTTTGAGGTTCTGGAGAAAAACCAAGAGTACCCAATAAGGAAGATGCATAAGTTAGCTAGACCAGCCAAAAGGGACAGCTCTACTTTGTTCCTCAAAAGCCACCAGCCCTGACAAACAAATCATACTTGTTGATTAGTTTAATTCTCAACCTACTGTTTTAGTGTAAGAGAAGCAATGATCTGGCATGCCACAAATCTGACAATTAGAAGGATAGCCTGCCTAAGGTATTCTTTTTTTTTTTCAAAAGTAAGGTACTTAATAGCTAGCACAATGGGTCAACATTTGCAGGAATGAAGTAATACCTGAATAGTGAAGGTGAAAGGGATGAAAACTAGATCCCCAAACACCAGCATGAAACCCAGTCTTTCAGCAATAATGTCCCACCTGGAAGAGGTCTCAACAATATTTTGTTCAGGAGAATAGTATGTTCATCATCTTTTGATCTTCCCACAGGAGATCTCAACATATTTTGTTCAAGGATAGTAAGTAATTTGCCACTGAGAGCACATGATATACTTACGTTGAGGTCATGAATTCTTCATGGATGAAGTAATCTATAATATACCACTGCATGAACAAGTATAATTAATTTAACAATTAATGGGCTGGAAGATGATCAATTAAGAAGAAGGTCATGTTCAATACCGCACAAAAAAATTGGTAGAGAATGACCGAAAGATTAGCTGAACCAGCTAAGTAGCTCTTTGCAAACAAAGAGAGGTTAATAAATAACCATGCCATCATTCCTGCCCTCACAAAAAAGAATCTGCAATGATTGAAACATAGCTGTCACAAACATTTTATTCACGTCAGGTTATTTGCGGCGTGGCCGCGTGGCGAATAAATAATACAACACACAGTACCAGCAAGGCAATAATGGTCACTTGGTTGGAGTGGGGCTGGATGCATATAGTTCATGGGTAATACTTAATTGCGTCCATGTTAATTTTAGTGCACATTAACAATTGAGTGACCTAAGGGGACAATAAAAGAGCACTCATGAAGCATGTCTAAGATCATTTGCATTTCTAAAGGTGGAAAATCAAAATAATGCCAAATGTTATGGACTCTGACACTCTGTATCTTAATACACCAAATAAAATAGCTGCCATGGTGTGCAGATAAACTTGACTTTCAGCAGATCCCCTCAAGCTAGAATACAATTATTCAAAGGACAGCAGATCTTCCTCATTTCCAGTCATCAGTAGGCTAGGTATTATCCAATCACCATAGACTACATGTACGGAATAATTATGAGCAAAGTATCAGTATGGGTTGACTGCATTATGGACTATGGATTTGTCAAAGGGCCAAACAGATCATAATTGAATCATGGTCTTACACAAATCAACAGTTACCAAATCACTCTTGGAAACCCTGTCCTATTTCAAAATTTCAATCAGCAACACCCCATATGCTAGGCAAAAACACAGGAAAGAAATTGCTGACATACTTGAGGTCAACTCCCATAAAATGAGGATTAAGCTGCACTCCCAACCACCTATTGAACAAAGTCATCAGCACAAAAGTGTCGTTGCTAACTAAAAGGGGAATTGCAATAAAATACACAACCAGTTCCTACATTTGAATCAGACATAAGAAATGAAATATTCTGTTTGCTTGGTCTTTCAGTAATAACAAGAATTTATAGACAAGAAAACTTATGTGTTGAAAATAAGCCAGTCATAGTTTTATATATCAGACACAATATAGAGTTTCCTAGAAGTACCAATCTTGTATGAAGCTCCCACTAACATGTGGTCTCAAAGAAGAACTTTTGTGGCGGGACTTGATGCCGGTAAAGTAGAGTGCGAAAGAGACCTGAAATCAAAGAGTGAGACATGAACAGCCAATCAAATAGCTTTCAATATAGACTATACTTTGTGGCAGAATGTAACTGAATATTGCATGATGAAAATATAACCAGACATTTGCAGGCATTTTGATCATGACCAAACTAGTGGAAACATTTCGTTCAGGTTTGTCAATTTTCTTGTGAATTTCTTTCCAAAATAAGGATGGATCATTAATTTGAGGAAACTTGTTGTCATAACAAATTGTATTGACAGCCAACAGTTTGCATGCATAAGGCACACCCATGACTAAGGTCAAATTGATAAAATTTAGGAGTACTTTAGGATGTAACACTCCTGAACAGACATTAAAGGACTCCTTGACGCGGAGTTAAGACCAGGTTTATCAGTCAGACACATGCAGCGCGCCCCTTTCATTTTCCACAATAGCATGGTGGCACACCAAATGTACATCAAGTAGTTAGAATATTCATAAGCAGGTGCAGGTGACCCGGAAAAGTCCAAGGCGGCACTTACAATGACACTAAAAATGAAGATCACTGACAGAAGTTCGAGTCCCCTGTCAGCTACAACCTGCAAGCATTGACAAACAATATGTTGTTGATCAACTCGTCATACCTAAGTCGATTCACAATGACAATAAACCACAATAAAAAATTCCACTATGCTGGCCCATCTGAAAATGATTGTGGTTCGGTCCTTGTTGAACTGGAGTATAATTAGTACAGCAGTTGAACAGAAGAACACACCCAGTACTCAAGGCACGAGGACTGAACACGGAGAGGCAGGAGCTCACCGTGGGAGACATCCACCCCATGTAGACACCGAACGCCGAGAGCCCCAGCAGCAGCAGGAGCGAGAGCAAACCTGCAGACCACACGCGAATCAAGCGGCTGTGGGGAAGGAGATCGAACAACTCAGCTGGCTGCCCAGAGGATTCTGGGATCAGCGGCGGCAGGAGGTACCGTTGCAGCGGTAGTGGAGGCGGGAGGAGTCGGGGAGTATGGCTCCGTCGACGACCTTCCCCGGGAGGATGGCTCCGGCGGCGGCGAGATACCCGAGGTAGGCGAGGAGTACCACCACCTGCGCAGCAAAGAGCGAGCACACAAGTACTCAGTGAGCGATCCATGTGCAGCAACCCGCAGCAGACCAGAGGAACAACGGTCGCGAGTGATGAGCGACGAGGCACCACCGCGCTCCCGGAGGGCACCAGCGCGGGGAGGACGGCGGCGGCGGCCTCCATTCTCCGTCACGGCGGGGATCTCGTGGTGGCCTCTGGTGGGAGCCTGCGTTTTCTGCGGCGTGGACTCGGGTCGTACAAGGGAACGCCGCGTAAAAGTGGCTAACAAAGTTTTGGGCTCAGCAGCATTCGGCCCAGACAAAATTTGAGTTACCATTCAATGTTTTTCTTTATTCCTCTCAAAAAGATCATTTTCCCCTTTATTTTATATAATATATATGGCGTGATTTGAGATCTGCCTTATAACTTGGACTATGTTCATTTTATATAGATATAGGCCATGTTCGGCTGGCTGAAACTGGCTGGTTGTGTGTGAGAGAAATACTGTTGACTTGTTTGATAAACAGTATAATGGGAGAGGAACCAGCCGGCTAAACTTTTCAGTTCAGACCAGCGAACTGAGCGATACTCATATATCGTTAATTAACAAATGAGATGCTTTGCCAGCTGGAGTGTACAGAATCCGTGGACAAGACAAGAAAGGCGACAATGGTTCTGATGCACACCTCTGTAGTTTACTGTATGTTGGTATATTTTTTCCTTGGAAGAACTAGTTAATGTTGGTATCACGTGATATATGGTTCCTTCCGAATACAATTTACTCCCTCCGTGTCTCTTTTCGATTGTTGTTCTCACTTTTCGAGACATATATAACTTTGACAAAATATATAGAAGTATATTGATATTTAAGTTATATAGTATATTTTTAAATTTATTTTTAAAGATATTATTCTAATATATAATTTATAGAAGATATAATACAAGATATTTGATGAAGATTCTTAGAACGTCAAAATTTAGAAGCTGAGCCAAATCTATTTTTAAAAATATGTTATATTAGACTAGTTTCCAGTGGCGGACCTAAGATTTTGTCAAAGTATATGCCACAGAAAAAGAAATTACATGTAGTTTAGTAAAATCCATTTAGCAATTTAGTAAATAATCATAAAATTTACTTCACAATTAAATTATAAGTACTAAATAATATAATAAGTCCAGGCTAATGTTTCTCAGCCACACAAGCTCATGAAACTATGCATGAAGAGATAAATATTATGTCAAAGAGTAACAGGTTGGTTGTATGCACGTGGGAGCCTAGGAGCGATGAACAAGAGCTAAGACGCCAAAAGCAACCTCTCGTATTCTAGGACTGAAAAAACAGTTATACAGGTCTTCTATTCTGTTGCGCAGTTAGTTAATTTGTAGGGAATAAGGGAAATCAGTCAAAATAAATTACAGTAAGAATCAGACCACCCTAAGTTTAGTAGGGGATACAAAATTAGGAAAGTAAAAAAGCTCAAATTAAGAGTCAAACTTAAACCCTTCAAATTAGAAGCTCACGTATGTACCACTCAACCACAAACTATTTATTGTCCAGAACATAAAATATTTTTTTCCAAAATGGCCACAAAGTTGCACATGTACCAGAAATAAAAATAAAGGAACTACTAAAAGCAAACGCGTCAATGAGAGCATCTAGAAACGCAAAGAGCAACGAAACGATAGACAAAAACGCTCGCCGGACACTTCTGGGTGTACACTACAAGGCAGCAGCCCACACACCCCGCAAGCCGAAAACCACTCCAAGGCTCTCACAGCTAACCAACGTAAGGCACCAACTGACGGTCTTCATGAGCTTGCTTCTTGACATCCTTCCTGTGAAAGAACAATGCAGCCGCCTTCACCGTGTCCACCCCTTGGATGATCTGCGTTTCCACTTCCTCCTTGAAGAGACCCACCACCCAGTACACAATGAACGAACAAATCATGCATACAATCTCAGTAGGATATTTCACTCTCTTATGGTCAAAGCAAATAGAGTTTATAGTTCTCCAAATCGCCCAGCATATAGCTGTCAGCCCCATTGCCTAAACCTTTTGACCTTGTGGCAAACTGTTCCCAATCCAAACCCAATATTGATCAAAGTTACTAGGCCTGCAATTAGCCCCAAAAACAAATGCTATAAGGCTCCATATGTATTTCATTGTCACACACTCAAAGAAGATGTGCCTTGCACTTTCCTTTTCTGTGCAAAAGGCACATGACTCATTGCCTCTCCAATTGCGTCCGCAAAGGTTATCGACCTGCAACCACATGAAAATCTTAACCTTTAAAAGAATTTTAGCCTTCCAAATTTTCTTGTAATTGCTCCCGAAATCATTTCTACAGAGATGTTTATAGGTAGACTTCACAGATGACCTCACTTCTCTCAATCCCAACTTGCCCTGTCTTTCTCAAGAGTGGTATTATGCCTATGCACGATATCCTGAAGCCTTCTGAGTTGATTCTGTAGGTTATCATGCAACCATCTTCTAAAGGAGAGTCATGCTTCATATTTTTCACTAAAGCCTCCTGCTCCTGATTAATAACATAAAATTGAGGAAACTTTTCAGCCAGTGAAACTTGTCCACGCCATCTATCATGCCAAACGCTGATGGATTTGCCATTTCTAATTACCATAGATCTCCCCCTCAAATAGATATGTCGGATTTTAACGGATCATTCCACATCTAGTAAACGCCTATCATAAGCCCGTCGATATAACTTGTACAAATACATGAATATGATCACCAACATAGATTTAGGGGTTTAAACTAGTAAATTTCACAAGTTTTGGTGAATCTGTGTTTTTATAGGGTTTATCCAGAAAACCATCAAGGTGGACCCAAACGTCAGAATTAATCGCGCTTATCATCGACGAAAACAACTCCAGAAGACTCTATAAGACACTAGAAGGCAACCCACCGCGGAAGACTGCAAGAGGATGACAGGTGGGGCCGGCCGGCCGGCCGGCCCACTGGTCCCACATGGCAGCCCCTCCTCGCAACGTCGGTTCTCCACCGCCTTAAGGAATGCATCTACGCCTTTGCTTTAAGTCGGTTTGATCTAAGGGCTCAGGATTGATGGTTCCCCCTATATATACCAGCCCCTACCACCCCCAGGAGAACTCTCATACATTCAAGAGATCAAACCCTAATCAAAAGAGAAGAACCTCAGAGCTCCACAATATTTAGGGCATAGCTAGTTAAGTTAGATCTAGAGGGAGGAGAAGCTTGGATTCCTGATCTTGTCAAGAGCGTGGCTTAGTATAGCCCCTTATATCCTCTCTTGTATCTTTCATATTTCATATGTTTGCTATATTTGATATGACTTTGTTCTTAATATTATTCATGTTCCTAGTTATCATGTTCATCGTTTACTTTGATTATATGCTTAGTATAGCTAGATTGTCTTTATGTTTAAGCATAAGTTCATATAGCGCTCGCTCTAAAGTACAAGGGGTGAGTGGTCGACATTGTGTAAGCGTAGTGCTTATACGTTGTTTACCTGCGGATGCACCCTATATTCTAGGCCATATGGTAGATTACGAGTGTGACACTCTCGTTGAGTCCTTTATAGTCCACTCTTCGAATATAGGTCAAGTAGGATGTAGTTACGAGGAAAGTCAGGCTTTGTTCTTGATCTTCCTTAGTAATATCCCTTATGTGTAGATATGAAGTTGATCTTAGTCATGATTATTAAGTATAATTGCACTAATCATAGTATGCTTTGACTTGTAATTAAGAATGACTTAGAAATTATTTCTCTATTATCTACTTAACCATGCTAATGTCATCTAAAGTACTCTGAGTGTTCATTATCATTTATCATTTATCATTCATATTACATTTATCTCTTGATTTACCCCTGTTTTTAGTAGAAGATTGGTTATGGTTTATCTCTCCATCATACGTATAAGTTATCAATATATTCCCTTTTGCCCGTCCTTCCCTGAGGTAAAAATATAAATAACGATATCTGAAATACTCTCGGGTGAAATGCTACAATGGTATATTATCTGTGCGCTTGCAGACTCCTTCATTTATATATTCTTTCTAAGATACAAGTGTCATGTTAAGAAATACCAATGAGCACTTCTGGCATCATTACTGGAGAAACTTAGTAGTGATGTTAAGAAGTGTCAACAATCTGTCAGCAATCTAGTAAACCATCAACTTTGGCAGAGACTTTAGTCAAATCCCTACATCTAATCTTCACCCTGACAAACTCATGTTTGGTTAGATTCTCCCTGTCCACTTCCAAAGGAAGCCCAACATTAGATGCCACCATGCAGACATTGGAGTAAGACCTCTTCTCATAAGGAACCCCCTTGATTCTTAACCATGCCACATCTAGGGCTCCTTTAGAACCAGTGGCTGGGTTCCATTTCTCAATCCTGAAGACAACTGAAGGCACTAATCTCATTCTCATCTCAGTAAAGAAAGCCAAGTCTTCAATGGTCTGAGCATCAGGGAACCTCATTTGAAACCTGTTATCTCCTATTTTCTTGGCATACCACCTCCAGGTAGAGTTGGGTCTAGGCTTTTCCTTAAACTCAATTTCAATCTACCTTGTAGAAACTTCCCCAGCTGTAATGGCGATCAAGGAAGTGTTGGACATGTCCTTGATCCCTTCATCAGTAACAGTACTAAAAGGATCGAGGACGCCGCCTAGAGCGGGGTGAATAGGCGTTTCTAAAAATTCAACCCTTCAAAATGCGAAAACAATCAGTGTTAGAGTTTCCAACTTGGAAACTCCAAATTAGAGAAATAAACCCCTCATGAGTTAGCCAACAGAGAATACAAGGTATATACAACCCTGCAACACAAAGTTAGAGGAGTGAATGAATAAAAATAGCATAGGCTCCAAATACCGGACGTGTCCGGTATGGATACCGGACGCGTCCGGTATACACGGCCTCAGTACGCCGACTCCAAACTTGTTGCCCTTGATTCCAATGTGTTCCTCGAAGTTGTAGGCACCTACTAGTAACCTACTCACAAGCTCAAACAACACAAAGGATCACAAATACCAAATAAGATGGATATTGAGACACGGTATTTGTTTTATCGAAGTTCAGACCCCGTCGAGTCCTACTCTCCGTTGAGGGGGCTGCGAGCGACCCAACAAAGGTCAGCTCTAAAGGACCATGAAGGCCACTCTAGCTAGAGTTTTTTCCAACT